GCACACGGGGTTAGCGGCCGTGGCGGTGCGGCGGCAGGGGGCGAAAAGAGTGACTCATCGTTGAGCCAGGCCAGGCCTTACGAGCTGCAGGTCAGGAGAGGAAGACACTTTTAGCCCACATTTCTTCCTTGCCCCCCCTTCTTCGCCGTTCTTCGGCTGGTGTGTTCCTTTATTTTTACCCCAGCCGTTTATTCGCGGTTCCTCGTTTCCTATCTCACTTCCTCCTCTCCTGTTTTTCCTCGTTCGTCTATTCTGCTTCCCAGACACGCGTCGTTCCCGAGGATTGCTACGCGTTGGCCGACGCCGAGCGTCTTAATGGGTTTCGAGGATGGTTGTCGAGGGTCTCTTAGAACGATATAATTAATGTCTGTACGAAAAAAATATATATAAATATTAAATATTTTATATAAATATGTAAAATTGAAATATTGCGAGTGAAGGTATTTTAAAGAAAATTCCAAAAATATTTAAGCGGTTTAGCAACTTCCGGGGTATTAGGAGTTTATTTTGCATCCCTATGCTTTCTCGACTCGGTGTTTCTTAAGACTGGAAGACTTTCAAGATCGAAAATTCATAATGCATCGTTAATAGGGCTTCCTTAGAACTACACACCAGATTACAAGATTGTGAATTTTTTTTTTAGGTTTTTAAAAACGTGCTAAATTTATCGAGAAAGCCTCGAGGGCATTCGAGAGTTCCTCGATGCGTTCTCATAGCTGGCGGCTATGATGGGGGGTACAGGTTTAGATACAACACGCGGAAGTATGGCTAACCTGCTACGCGAACGGTTTATTAGCTGGTCGCGTTTCTCGAGAAATCGCTGTGTACACAATTCCAGGATACAATTCGGGCCAACTGAATCACTATGTTATGCCTCGTGGGCAAAAAACGCGAATAAGAAACACCTTTGTTATACGTTCTTTTTGTAGTGGAATCCGATTTTTATCTTACTTAAGACACGATATTATTTTTACAATAATTTAAAATCGATAATTTTTTCAAGAATATAGAAAGACAACTTCTCCACTTTTATTCATTTATCATTTATTTTTTTTTTCTTTAGAATTATCATAAATATCATCTATCTATCTAAACTATAAAAAGAAATAATATAGATAGAAAATATTTTAAAAGATTATTAGCATTTCTGATATATAACCAAGTTATAGTTAAAGATCACAGGATCGAGCGAACACCACCTGCTCCCAGTTCACTGTATCGGTATTTTCAAAGTAACTCGATGCTTCCCCTGAGACCAGTTCCCACGACCCTGTTCTCTCGTTAGGCTTCCAGACCAACTCTCGACGCCCTAAAATCAAAACCTCTCCTAACCGATCCTTTTCGATTACTTCCAGGTGGACACAAGGAGTTCCACAGGCGGCACAGGGACCTCTGCGAGGATACGCTTCTCCCAACAGTCGGAGCAGGTCCGTCCACTGTCGGTAGTTGTTCCAGTCCAGGACCAGGGTGTCCAGTATTAAGTCTGTCCGGACCACCGACTCCGCAACCCGCGGACATCGATAGTCACCCAGCCTCGAGAGTTCTACCGTTCCTCTACCTTGGAAATGGCAGGGACGCGGCCGACTTGCAACTTCTTCGCGCGTTAGGCGCAACCAGAGTCCTCAATGTCACTTCACAGCTGCCTGGATATCACGAGGAGAGGGGTATCACGTATAGACAGATCCCTGCCTCGGATTCTGGCCACCAAAACCTTAAACAGTACTTCGAGGAGGCGTTCGACTTCATTGGTGAGTCTCCATTCTTGATACGATAGAATTTATGGAGGATTAGGAGGAATTGGAATTTACCTACCGTCGATAAAAGTAGATGCACTTTTTCGAGAGGTAACTGTTCAGTTTGAGCAATAACGACGAAATGATTGTAAGAATGAGAAAATTCTAGATAATTTTAAGAACATTTCTCTCATTTTATTTCTATCTAATAGATCGGGGATATCTATTAGTAAGCATAGAGAAAACGTATATACTTCTTCAATAATGTTTATGAAATGAAAATTCTCGGATTATTCTCGAATTCTATTACAAAAATGCATGTAGCCTGCATTTTAGACTTTGATAAATTAATTTTCCGCAAGGAAACAGCAAATTCTTATAAAAGCTTATGCCATTTTTACGTTTCTCTCGCGTGTTTAAGAACCAGGAAAAATATGTTGATTCAACTACGCGATCAATGGAACGAGATTCTATTCATTAAACAACCGGAGCACCATTCGAATAGACGACGCACAAATAAGTAGTTTGCAGCGTACAATGTTGACATTGAACGAATGAACGTGGTAGCCTCCATTGACGTTCTCGAACCTGTTGCATGTGATTGAACGAAAATACACAAGGATCACCGGTTAGGGTAAATTGGTCTAATTGACGGTGCAAAATGTCGGTCGGTTATAATGTGATATTCGAGTGAGGCTGCGTTTAATTCACCGTGAGAGGGAGGATGAGGAGAGCGTTCACAAAGAGATGTTGGCCTCTGTCGATGAGTAATTCTTTCGACTGACTGGGTGTGTCCTCGGGCAATGATCGTCATTGTCGTTTGCATCCAATCTCATCTGCAAGTAGTACAACGTTCAAAGGTTGTTACTTGTCGCTCGATTAGCGATCGATCATTTTTATTATCCATGAACGCTCATCAGAAAAGTCGAAGAAAATATGATGATTTAACAGACATGAGAAAATAACGAACGTTCTGTACAATTTTTTAAATGTTTTTAATTTTTTGATAAATCATAAAATCTTATAGAAAAATATAAGATTATAATTATAAAATTTATTATATAATATATAAAATATATTATAATTATAAATCTCCTGGATCGTAAATCAAACAAGGTAGAGGGATCTCCTAACGGATTTCGAGCGTCCTTTATTTCCCTTCATGGGAACCAAGGACTCGATCCTTTGTGAAGGACACCGGTTAAACTTTCCATCTAACCTGGCTGCTTATTTTGAATCCTGAAGCAAACCCAACCCGAAGAATACGTTATAAAACTTCGTTTATAACCCCTAATTAAACTAAAGAATAAATTAAGATTACAGTTAAGATAATATAATTATAACACGCGAGAGGTCATAAAATTGAGCATTGTTCCCGATGTTTCTCTTCAATTATACGTGCCCATTCATTATACACGCTCTATTGATCGCTAAACATTTAAAAAATGTGCTCGAGATGGATTTTTTTCATATCTAATACTTATTCAAATAATTATTTCTGTACTTCAATTCTTAAAAAATTTTTAATCAACATTTGCATCGCCATAAAAATAAAATTAGTTTTTAATACAGAGACGTCTAAATGAAAAACACACGGGATATTCCATCCATATCGTGATGAGACGCCGAAGGGTTAACCTCTCAACGCCTCAAGTACACATGTTTTACATACCAAACATCCGTTTTAGAGATTTCCCATACGGTATCTACGCATCAATTACACGAATATCTATTGTACAAACTCCCCTTATTCTTTACCCCTATAGAATTTCGTCGAAAGTTTTAATATTCATCACCATACGAAAAAACACATAACCTAAAACCTATAGGAATTCGAAATGCCCCAAAGTCGACTCGGGGAAAAAAAGGGGGTTCGAATCATCGTCGCTTTGTGTGCGTCCTTCATCGTCCAAGAGGCGGTTTAACGGTCAACGCACCAAGGTGCCCTTCATTTCACGCAACAGTCCCTACGGTGTTGGTCGGTTGGCCAGGTACAGCATTCCACCAGTTGCGCACATTCGGTAGGGCCTTCCTTGCCGAGTGTGGCGCGCACGCACGCACACACATACGCGCACGCGCGCGCGATCAAGGATCGTCTCGCGTTACGCACACGTTCACGCGCATGGAGCAGAATGCGGTGCAATAAACACACGGGGAGACGGAGAGGCCGACACTGGGGCACCATGAAGGGGATATTCACGGGTGTGTGCATTCGTTAGTGCGGGCTCGCGCGCGCGCCAGTGACTCATGGTTTCATGAATGGAAGCCTTTCGTCTTCTAGTCCTCGCATATACGGTGAATGGTCCACCGGAAACGGCTGGTTACACCCTGTTTCCGTTACACCAAACTGCGCCGCGTTGACGAGGGAAAAACGAGAGAGCGTGCCCACGATGACGAG